ACGTATCAAAAAACTTTGATCCGCACAGGACATGTTCCATCCGACTGAAGTTTTTCGAGACGCGGTGAACTGAGACTTTGGTTCGTCGAACTAAACCTTCGCTTCACCGAGCCGAAGTGCTTGGCTCTTTCAACTTCAGCGGTCATTTTTCTCGACTGAGAGCTCAGCCCTCTAAACCTTAAAGTGCCTACTACGGGCCAATCATTGAAATTGATAGACAAAACGATAGGCAATGAAGTCAAATGGAAACCTGAAGCAATCCTACTGGTTGAAACGGGTAGTTCAAATGTTTGACGAACATTTTGGGACAAAAGATACCCAAAAATGTTAGTCCGACTCCATGACATTCCAGTTTAAAAATTCCACCCTGGTAAAAATTGGAAGTAGAATCTGTGTTCCAAAATACCCTAGACCTACAGCCGGCTGTAAGATTTCCAAGCTTCTATAGCCGGTTACACAATTGCTTACAGCCTTGTGTAGCCGATGGCGATTAAGCAACAGCCAGGCGATAAAGTGTATGCTAAACGTTACTAATTACGGATGCTAGGACTTCGTGAGTTTTTCGAATACTGCTCTCTTTTTGGGCCGTAGTATCTTAATTTATTTTCCGAGGAAAGCTCCGTACTTTTGATGGATGCCTGCCATTACTAATATATTAGAGTGCCTTCAGTTTCGTATGATACTGTGCAATACCTCTGGTGTGAAATAGTTTCTTCAAGCGCCGTGGCAGGCGGGCAGCCAGCGCGAAACACGCATTGGCGCCTACAAACCTAACAGGGATACTTCACGCATTGCGCAATGCGTGAAGTATCCCTGTTAGGTTTGTAGGCGCCAGTGCGCCGCCGCTCCGCTTTGTGTTAGGCTCTAATATTTAATCTGGCGGAGTCAGCGTTATTCAACTCATGATTTTGAAATGTTTGCACATCCTGTGTGGATTATTCTCCTTTTAATTGATGAAAAAAAATATGTATTGAAACAAAATATGATGTGTGTTTTGTAAATATTAAGGTGGTTCCGTATCAAACTTAATGATTTCCAAAGCACACGAATATCTACACAATTTCTTATAGCCTTTTATAATCGATGGCGAAAAAGCAACAGCCAGGCGATAAAGTGTAAAGCCCGGCGAAAGGAACTATGGCCCGGCTGCATAATTTTTTATCGCTGCGTGTAGCCCGGCCGTATGATTTTCTCCGCATTCTACAGCCAGCTATATGATTTTCTGTAGCCCTCTTTAGCCGGATATAAGAATTCCTTTGGTATTTTGAAACGCAGCTCCTATCGCCAATTTTTACCAGGGCAGTTCGAATAACATAGTTTCCAGAAAACGATATTTAAAGTTCTAATCTGCGATGTTTAGAGTAAAAAATAACAAAATTAAGTACAATGCAACATTATGTCTTATCGATATATTGGCAACGAGAGGACCTAAAACCACATGCAATTTTCTCCCTTTGGATGCTAGAAGGTTTTGATAAGGACTTCAAAATTCGGTTTTCTTTCCAACTTAAAAAAAAATCGTTCCTCTGAAACTGCTGCTTTCGTAGATTGAGGAATTTTCTCTTTAAAACGATCATAAAATCTTCGTTCAAAACGGAAATTTTTTCTTCTGTAATACCTCTTACTCCCAAGATGATGCCTCACTGCTATCTAAAGTATTCAGCAAGTGATTACAAACAAAGTATTTGTATAATCTCCATTGAATTATTATAAGTTGCTGAGTGACAGCTATAATTCGTGTTAGTACATATTGATATTCGCACATTTAATCCGCCAATTCATAACTAACTGGCGAGGGAAATAAAATGCGGTCAAAGTCACTTTACGAGGCAAGTAAACAAAACCTGTCCGTGGCAACTTACAAGAATTACCTGAAAGATATCTTAATTTATGAGTGTTCGGAGAAAAAGTTTTCCAACTACATGTCAAGTGGTGCTAACCCATTTCATCGCAACCGTTTAACCTGCACGGAAAAAAAAAACTCCGGATACATAAGAAGCGAGTGGTTATGGGGGCTGATTATTTAAATTGATAGACAAAGTTTCCAACGGCGGAACTGGGAATCATTCCCCCACCCCCCTCCTCCACCCAACGGGGGCGGCAAGGGTGACAGTTACCTATGCCAGTGAAGGCGATGGACAAAGAAGATAAAAAGAAAATGGAGCGATCCTATTGGTGGTAGCAATGGTCAAAGGAGGTAAGTAATGGATTAAGTAACGGCAACCCCCGAGAAACTTTACAATTGCCCATCATTTCCTACCATATAGTTTATGCTGCGATGTATCAACATCAACAGCTGAACTTTGAATTCGTATGAATTTTCTCTGTGGATAGTCACAAGTGTGGAATATATGACTTAAGAAGTTGTGACTTTTCAGGTGTTACACTTAACCAGACCTAAAGTCAATAACACCAGGCACATAGCAACGGCCAAAGTGCGAATCCACGTATCTCCGCTTTTTTTTAAATTTTCTATGTTCCAGGGAGTTTTTCGTAGACACTATTTTTTCTGGTCATCGTCGGCAATTATATTTCCTCGCAGAGAGGTGTCTGAAAAGCCAACTTGGATAAACAAAAAATCTTGCAAACTTTTACCAAATCGCTATGTTTTCAAGCGTTTCAAAGAAATTTCTCCCAGTTCAGAAAAAAAAAACGTCTTGATCAAACACGTCAAATCGACTTAAATCCAACCCAAAAAAACATGTTTGGCAGTTTGCGAGGTATTTCGTTTAGTTATAAGTTTTGCGCTATCACATGACTCTCTTGGCAAAACTGACTGCCAGTAACCGAGAAAGAAGTATGGTTGGTTGGTAGATACGTTTTCCTCTAACGTGCTTTTATGGAAACGCAATTTGCGCGTTTTAGACTGTCCTTTGTAATGAATTAAGAAAACTCTCTTAAAAGAGCGGAAAGTTTGTCAATAATTAACCACTTAAGCAATGAAAAGGCTCTAATCGGAATTAGCCTAAGTACACGAAAGGTTGCCTAATTTTCTCAGATAATTAACTTTTTAAACAGAAAACCGAGCAACACAGGAAGTTTCAGTAGTTTGATTCTCCGTTAAAAAAATAAACAAAGAGGGAATTTGGTGACATGAAATGCATTTACGATGATTTCGGTTAAATTCGTCCAATTAATTTTAGTGTCTTGATGATCAGTGAAAATGTTACAAAAACGTTATTCGGTAAAAGTTTTTGCCCTAACATGCTATTGCATGGTCTCAATTTTCAAAACTTAACCGAAGAAAAAGGATGTTGATTTAACATTCCGGATGTAAAAAAATGTGCGACAACTCACAAAACGCTGAATTAACCGCCACAGCATTTAGTTTTACATCTTGACATTGCTATTACTGTAGCTGTTATTTCAGCGTTTTGTGAGTTGTCACACTTTATTACATCCAGCATGTTAAATCAGCATCCTTTTTTTTCGGTGTTTAATTTTTAAAAGTATTGCTCTCTTTGATACCAGAGTAGGCCCAAGCATGCCTTGCGATAGCTGTGTTGCTGTCAGTTTTCCTCCTTAGGTCGAAGACCTTGCTTCGTCACAAGTAGAGATACGCAAAGCAGGTCGCGAAACTCGAGTATTATGTGCGAATCTCGTGATGCAACGGATGTTCAACCTCCCGGTTGAACACACTTATCTGGAGATGCTTAGTTACATCATCATGTATAATAATTTTGTTTACAAAACAATACTCTCTCAACAGCAACTTGGATCACTGGAACAACAAATGTAATAAACATAATCTGAATGATAACCCCTGAGGGATAATCGAGAGATGGAAACATCTGGAAAACTAAAAACACCGGGATCAAGAATAGTAAAGTGTGATCTCTACCGCATGGGAAAGAAAGGGTGATTATTTCAACAATATTCCTGGCTGATATTGGGGTTACAAAGAAATTTTGTTGCACAAGCCAGAGGGATGGTTGATTCAATCAGGAATGAGGTGGAATCAACGATATCACTGGCAAGTGTAACCACTTTTCTGCAGTTCTGCCAAGTGTTAACAGTCAGAATTACAGTCGAAATTATCATACTTTTTTTCTTCGTGCGGTTTGCAAAACTTTTCGGGATTTTTGTAAAACTTTGGTATTCAAAAATGTCTCGTGGAAAGGGAATCTCCGCTCAAAATATTTTGGGAGATAAGGGGTCTAAATGTAAATGAACTCCTTAAAATTGTCTGAAATTATTCATCGAATAGACAATTTTCGAATTTTGAATAAATTCAAAGCTTTAAGAGCTTCCTGGTTACACTGCTGTCTCCAGGAATGAAAACTTGCGGGAAAGTGGGGAAATTGAGAGAAAATTACTGAAATCTATCAGGCAATATTACAGTTTGGATTATAGTTTTTTTCCTTTCCAAAATTTCCCTTGTCTTGTGATTTTTTTCGGGCTACTCACATATTTTTTCACGTGAAATGTCAATCCGATCAACATAAACCCATATTTGGGAACCTACAAGTCGCTAATCGAGGCCAATGCTAATCAAACCTAAACGTCACCAATATAGGTTTGCCTTTAATAGTTCAACTTATTGGTGTGTGTGCCTAATTTCTTGATCCTAGATCCCATCATTTAACCGATGTAAAAGGCAATTGACAATCCAGGTATCTCCTCGTCCGTCTAGCCTGAACGAAGATTTGTAGTAAGGTATTTTTGATGAAGAAATTGGAAATTTCCATGAAGGCTATTGAAAGGCTAATGGATAATTCTGAAAAATCTTGGAAAATTACAGTTTCAGGGAAACACTTTTGGAACTGAAGAGAGTACCACTTTCACCGTTTGTTCGGGAGAAAATTTTGACGCAGCCGTCGATCAAGACTGCCGTTGCGTCGACAGCCAACACGATGTTCAACAGTGGACAAGATAGGAAAAAAACAATCGTGGAAATTTAACAATGGTTAAGCCGATCTGATGAGGGTCATTGTTGTGAGTCAAGTTCATGTTCACGTGGTGCGAGCGCGGCGTCGCGACGCCCCGCGAGAGTCGTCGCGACGCCGCAGTCAAAATCTGAAACGCGATCGCGACCGAAGGTAGTTCGATTGATCTCGTTCGATCGGAGTCCTTTCACCCGGCAATTAGCACAACCCTAGTTTGCCTGGCCCCTTACCTTACTTTAATATTCATAACGTTAAGTCATTGGTTACGTACGTAACATTACGTTAAGACTTAAGTTACGCACAGTACGTTACTTAAGCCACTCGTTACGTGAAAATTTCTATATTTTTGAACTCGTGACTTCTAGTTTTTAGTCTGTTGGTAACTTCACCCCGCGGAGTTGGGGCGCGATTGTAACGGTTGATCAACGGGTTCGGTGCCTGGTCCTCGTTTCAAAATGAAGTTCCTTTCGTCGTACTTGTCCCGCAACAAGGGGTACATTCGCCAGACTGTTGTTTGTTGTTCAGGTACGGCTTGTATTAGCCAAGTCTCCTTTCTTCTTTTGGTGGTTGAAAATACATTGACGGTGGAACTGCAAAAACGCGTCTATCGTTTGAAGGTTAGAAAATGCTCTGCTTTCATTGTATTTAGGTTGAGTTTAACCGGAACGCACCAAGTCGCAACTTGGATAAAAATGAATTTGGAGTAGTTTTGAATGCAACTAAATGCACACTTTCTCAAGCTCAAAGTTGAGAGAGCTATTTTGATCGTAAAAATAGTCAATGAAGTTTATTTGTAGCATTTACTCCTATGGAAGATTAAAACTTCAAACCTATTCTTTTCGATATGTTTTTTTAATCAATTTTTTTGTCGTAATTGAACTCAGTTAGTTTTATCAAAGTAGGACTAATCACTTTAATTACATGAAGTTTTCGAATAGTATTCTTCACCCAGAGGGCGAGGAAGAATTTTCAAGAGGTGACATTGAGTATTTTTTACACAAAAAATAAGATACGACGAAAGGTCTGCAGCATCCCAAACCGACGTACGCGTTTTTGCAGTTGCACCGTCGAAATGCATATACCGTGGGCTATCAGCGATAGTGGGCAACTTTTGAGCCACTCAAGATGGTAAGGAAAGTAACAAAATCAGAAATATAGAAACATGGAGGAAATACTGATTAGTAGTGGCGGTGGTAGGCAAAATGTGTTTTAAAGTGGAAACTCGAATTGCTCTATGCATCAGAAACTTCGATTGGAGATGAAACATATATATTTTCAGTTTTTGGTGCTAAATACTCTCCAATATTCTCAAGGACGATAATTGGGTCAAAGTATTCAAATGGTTCCCATTATCAATGATTTTGTGAGCGTTTGAATTGAATACTCCCTCACGCTGGCAACAGCGCCGACAAACTTTAATGGCTAATACTTTAATTTCACCTTCCGCCAAAGGGTTCAAGTTTTGGAATTTGCGTCGAATGATGCAGAAGTAACTTCTTTAGGCTCTAGAATGGTAATGCCATTTTTTCATCTCCACCTCCAGGCACATTTTCTCATGCTGCGTCTTATTTTACCGTGAACGCACAAACGATTTATTATATCAAATGTGAGGTGACAGCCGGTATAACCGGGAGTGTGCCCGTTTACGAACCCTAAACAAACCAAAATCTCAAAATATCTGATTCAATCACATAGGCGAACTGTAGAGTCAGGGCGTACGTTGAGTTAGTGTTGGATAGGCAACTAAACTAAGTCCGTAGCGAAGCGTATAGTATCACGGCAAAACGCAGGCGCTCTACGTTCAAAGTATGCTTTTGAATCCGTCCTATCCAACTGAAAGTCTCTTTACATTGGTGCGACTTATTGCAATTGTTCGAGAAAACTCTAGTGTTGAATGTGTTTTCTAGCTTAATAAATAGTGTGAAGTTGGGCAAGCTCTTATTTTGGGAAGATCTTGGAAATGAATTGGACCTTTTTTTTACAACCAAACCCCGGAAAAATTGTTCTTACATACCCGGATGGACAAGGAAGGGTGCAAACATGAGAAACGAGAGTCGTGATTATGATTTTAATACATTTTATATGAGCTACCAAGTTCAAAACTGGACTGATTATAAAGTTAAACTTAACCGGTACTTTGGGGTTGACCAGAATCTTGACAAAATCTCACAAGATAGAATGATCTTGGTTCCGGTTGCAGACTGAAATTAAGACAGGTTAATCCGAATAAACTCTTACTTCATGACTGATCTGAGTCTAGTCCAATATTTTTAGGTGTCAACGGCTTGTTAAGCACCCCTACCGTTGATTTGAAAGTGGCATTTGTTTTGCTCTCCCTAAAAATCAGTTCTTCTAAGATACGTTTGCCAGCCTCGGAATTTATGATTGTTAGATACTCGATGATAATAGTTTTAGGAACCTAAAAAGCTTTCATCATGAGAAGAATTTGTTCAACTAGATTTGAAACCAACAAGTGCACATTATTTCATATTCTCAGGTCTTTTTTCAGGTCTTTTCAGTCAGGTCTTTTTTTCAGTACGCCTCAAAGTGTTTATATACAAGTAGAGTTACAGTCATAGATATTAATAAAACCAATGCCCAAATTGCCTATAAAATAACACTCAAATGCACAGTTTTCTTAGGTAAGGAACTTTCTCTTATAGGTACCGAAACAGTTCTTAAAATTAGCACCCTGCCGAATTCCGGGAATATTTGCGAAGCACCAATATTTTCAATTGAGCAGATACCAATCACGGTTAAATCTGCGTTAAAATGTTTATTGTAATTTTTTAAAATTGTTCATGATGATTCATTTTAAGTTTAAAAGTTTGAAATAGACGTGGGCATTCATGTTTTGCAAATTCAGATATATGCTGGCTTTCGATTTATTGTCAGTAGACTGGACAGAAAAGGAGGGATACCTACAAAACAGCGAAAGAAGGGAGAAAGGTGAAAGAATTAGATAGAGTAAGCAAACGGGGATCATTAGGGACTTTCTTTGATGTAATAACATGCCCAGTGGGCAGCAGAGATCCGCCTAACAACAGAAAATTTTCATTACGACCCGGGAAGGCAAACATGCAATTTTAAGCAGCTCAATTACGCAAGGCAGAATAGAGCCTAATTTTGCAAAGTTTACGGCTAACGTGTCGCGTTGATCTCAGCTTTGCCATTCGGGAACGAACCTCAGTTTGTTTTTCTGTGGAACGTCGAACTTTTGTGCTTAATTAAGGCTTATTGTGCTCCCGCATAACCGCTCTTAAAAAAGAATTCAAACTTCTCTACCGGGAGCCCTACTAATACATTTGCAATTTCGGACTATCGCGGACCTTCAAACGGTTAACCTTCAGCTATTCAGATCGCTAAATGTGCAAAAATTACCGATTTAAGAAGTGAATTAGCCTAGGATATACAGCACGGTGCAAAATCTCACACATTCTTTGATTTACAACCTTATTAACTTCGATCTCATCCTGGCACCCCAGGCTTATGGGGTGAGCCAGGATTAAATAATCGAAAATTACAGAGATATACTTGACGGTTTCAAGAGTGTAAAATTTAGGACAGAAAGCATTTGAGGTGACACGTTTTTACTTCATCGCTGAGAACGTTTTTTTCTTCATCATTAAATTTCATGATAATATCACCTACTAAGCTGTCGAGTAGAATATCGTCACTGCTAAGAATGCACCCACTCACTTGAACAATTTGCATTGTTGACATTCCATTGGTTGATTGATAAATAACGCAACAATAATAAGATAAACAACGATCAGCATTAAACATAAACTGCAGGGCTGAAAAATGAAAGAATTAAACACAGTCTTCAAATTCATGCTCATTTTGATGAAAATTCTTCCTCATTCAGAAGAAAGTATCTATGTGAAGGGAGTATCGACGGCGTAAGTCCGCAAACACGTATCTCGTTTGCGGTGTTTGAAAATCTCCGCTCCTATTTTATTTTTGCGAAGGAGAACAAATCCACATTATTCTTCGAAGTTTTCGTAGAATTTTCTTGGCACTGAGAAGAAAAATCATGACAGTTTTTAAGAATTGCCGTTCAGTAGTTTTTCATAAAAAAATAAAGTATGACAGAAAGTCTGTGACATCGCAAACCGAGATACGTGCGGTTGCGGACTCACACCGTCGGTATGCAAAAATGAAAAGAACCAAGAGGATCTGTGCAGGATATCCCAAAAATCAGCGGGATTTTAGGGGGAAGTTTTTCATGTGCTCCCACGATTTTTACGGGGAAAAACTCTTACTTTGACTTGAAAATGTGTCACCTGAAACCACACTGGATAGACTTGGGATTCGCCGTTTGCATAGGATTCACGTGCTTTATAGTTCCTTTCAATTTGATTCATTTACACATAGTTCTATCCAGCATAAGTCTATTCGGATGTATTCAATTTAAATTCAGACAAGCGGAAAGGCGATTCGCAGCCTCTGCTGTGGCGAAAGATTTAAACGCGATGTGGAGTACCTTCATAGGGGCAGTATGGGCACTAGGGGACCCATGTCTAATTAACTTAGCCATTTTAGGCCTCAACGGACAGTATGCAATCCAACAGAATGGTTAACGTTTCATGCAAATGACCTAAAATGTTGGCAACAAGTGCAGCGAGCAGGTGATACTCGTTAAAAGTCAGCAACAACCTCACCCACCCAAAAAAGATAAATTACACAGGGAGGGGACCTAACACAAAAGTTTGGTTAGTGCGGGAAGTAAAACACAAAATAACCTAAGCCCTCGGTTGACTCTGGGGTGTCCTAGTCTTTCCGTTATTTTCTGCGCCAAATTCACCGGCAACTGCTCCAAAATCAACACAAAATTCATGTTGGTTTGTGTCTCACTTCCTATATTAACCAAAAGAACACGAGAACACAAATATCTTTATCAGTGCGTAGGAGCGGAAATTTTGAAACGCTGCAGTGAAGATGCGTGGTGTCGCACTTTGGCCATGGATACCTAGATCCCTTGCTATGACCATAGATATTTTCCATTGCTTGTGCTGAAGCCCTTGTCTCGATGGGACGCTCCATGAGTTTTGTCCCGAGTTTGAAACACAGGAATGAAACTTCTGGGATTTTTCTCCGTTGAACAATACAGCAAAATTTCTCCTTCTTCTCCCTGAGTCGCTCATTGGCGAATCCAGGGGTGCCAACATACGCTCCTCATCGTTTGTTCAAAAAAAGGAATAAGAAGAAGGAAAGAAAGAAAAATAGGAAGAAACGGAGGAGAGAAGAAAAAAGGCCGCTTATATTTGGTTAAAAATTCACTTTTTCGTGCATGAAAAAATGGACTTAAACTGCATATAAGTGCTTTAAAATTCCGACAATTTTCTGAAGAAAACCCCCGACCTCTCTTACACCCCCTCTACCCGTTCGAGGTGTATGGATCCACCTACAGAGTCTCTCTTAGGACTCAACAAGAACTCGCGTACTTGATTTGGACTATTTCCGCCAAACGGAACTATGTGCATTATGATGTGAGCTTTGTTATGCACATGTTCTTACGGGTATGAGGGCCCATGTTTCAATGCACGTAGTCCCGTTTTGCAGATATATGCCCATTTGTATTGACTAACTCGATATTTTTCCCGATTTCGCAAGGAAGATTTTCCCCTGGGACAAATCCCACGAAACGTCCCGTAGAGATAAGGCCTAAACTTTTCTAAACATGTTGATTAACTAAAGTGTATGACTGGGTTGGCAGTGAGCATAATGACGTTCGTGTACGGTCAGCTCCTGGCGTGGCCGTCTCTGGCGATCGAGCGGATCTCCCTGGGCCAGGGCGGGTTCAACGTGACCGAGACGGAGATCTCGATCATCGTCTCGATGCCGACCTTCGGCGAGTTCCTCATGCCGATCGTCTTCGGGTTCATCCTCCTCAAGATCGGGCGCCGCTCCAACATGATCCTCAACGCGGTCGTCTACATCGTCGCCTGGGGCTTCATCACCTTCGCCACCTCCCCGCTCAGCCTCATGATCGCCAACTTCGCCGCCGGCCTCGGCTCCGCCATCGCCATGATCATCGGACCCATCTTCATCGCCGAGATCGCCGACAAGAGGATCAGAGGTAACCCCTTCACTTTCTACTTTCAGTCGGCTCATTGTAGAAATGGACCACTAGACAAGGTACGAGTTTAAGCATTCTGCACGGAGAATTAAACCTCGTGCGTGGGACCCGAAGTTTAGGTCGTATGGATCTTTGAAGTTTTCAGATTGAGCATCTGAGCACTTTAGGTCTAGCTGTCGAGGTTCGGATCACACATCTGAAGTACTTAGAATGTGAGAACCGAAGTTTTTTGGATGTAAAAACCGAAGTACTTCAGATGTAAGAACTGAAGTTTCAGATGTGTGATCCAAACCTCAAAAGCTGGGCCTAAAGTGTTCGGATGCTCAATCTGAAAACATCAGAGATCCATATGACCTAAATTTTTTGTCGAGTTCTTTGTCTTTTTTGACCGTAGCTTTGTCTATCAATTTCAATAATCAGTGGCGAGGCGCAGTAATAGACCATCGATATTTTCCCACTTGAAGCTACGGTATAGAATCGATCATTATGGTGTTTGCAGGGTGATAAAATTTCATGACAAATAAAATCTTGAAATTTTACGTGAAATATTTTATGAAATTTCAGAAAATGAATGATAATGAAAAATACCGGTTCCTTTTCATGTTTTGCAATGGAGTGGGCAAACGTTTCAAAATCATGAATCAATTAAAAAACGCTGACTCCGCGAGTTTACATATTAGAGCCAAACACAGCGCAGAGGCCTACTGCCAGCGCGACACGCGCACTGGCGCCTACAAACCTAACTGGGATACTTCACGCATTGCGCAATGCGTGAAGTATCCCAGTTAGGTTTGTAGGCGCTAATGTGCATGCTACGCTGGTCGTCCTCGCCCTCCGCGCTCCGGCGTGCCACGGCGCTTCAAGCAACTATTTTGCAACAGAGGTGTTGCACAGTATCATACGAAATTGAAGGCACTCAACGTATCAGATCTTCGTCGCTTTCTACTTTCAGTCGGCTCATTGTAGAATTGGACCACTAGACAAGGTACGAGTTCAAGCTTTTTGATACTTACATGTTTCCTAATCAAAATTTCTAGTGAAACACAATTTGCGCCATGAAAATTATGTACTGAAACCAACTCCTAAGTCCTAACGAAGATTTTAACGGTATTATTTTATTATATGTAACGACGTCGTGGACGTCCTGTGAAAGGTTGGCGACAAGGGGTGGAGGAGGAGATCAGAAGGTGCCAATTGCCTGATGATCTCTGGGAGGATAGGAGGCAATGGCGATTGGGCGTCGCAGAGCGCGAGGCTGCGCTATAAAAGCGGCTTTATATATGTATTTTACATTGGTTACGGGAAATTTGAACTGTCACCTCACAAGAAACTCAAAGCTCTAAGTTAGTCAAATCGCGCCCTATAACGGTTTCGCAAAGCCTCTCAATCGAGCAATGTTTCCTGCATACCCTGTGTTGTATAAACTATGACAATTTGCTATAGCTGAGCCAAAGCGTCAAGATAGAGGTTGTCAGATTTTCATATCGGAGAGACTGTCATGGTATCGTTTAGCGCGCGATGTGACTCACGTCGAGCATTGAGTTTTCATGAGCGGGTGGTTTGAATTCATGCATAAAGAAACATTAAATATCTTCGTTAGGTTTTGATTCCCGTAATTTTTGTCGCGCTCATCGTGTTTTACTTGCAATTTTGGTTACGAAACATGCATCAGAATGCTTAAACTTGTACCTTGTCTTGTGGTCCATTGGTAGACAAAGAAGACATCAGCGGGCTGAGTGTTGAAATTTATAGACAAAGCTATAGACAAAGAAGACATAGAAGTATGGAGCGATCCTATCGGTTGAAATGGGTGGTTCCTATAGACTTAGACACGCATTGCGCAATGCGTGAAGTATCCCAGTTAGGTTTGTAGGCGCTAATGTGCATGCCACGCTGGTCGTCCTCGCCCGCCGCACCGATGCATGCCACGGCGCTTCAAGCAGCTATTTCGCAACAGAGGTGTTGCACAGTATCATACGAAATTGAAGGCACTTTAACGTATCAGATCTTCGTCGTGAATACTCCTTCGAGCTGATTATTGATTTCTATAGACAAAGCCCTAGACAAAGATAAAAGAGATTTGGAGGGATCCTATTGGTGGGAGCGGGTGGTTGCAATGGACAAAGGAGGTAGGTAATAGACTAGCTAACGACAACTCTCGAGAGACCCGACAGTTAGTCTATCATTTTCTCCCTAAGTCTATAGGAACCACCTATTTCAACCGATAGGATCGCTCCATACTTCTTTGTCTTCTGTGTCTATTGCTTTGTCCATCAATATCAACAATCGGCCAGCTGGTTATCAAAAAATGACATTCTCAGCAGTATTTATACTGCCCTGCTAATGGGAAACGCCGTATAAACCTTTAGGCGTTGCCAAATTTCCTTTGACAAAAAATTTTCAAGAAAAGATGTGAATATTTTTGTTCCAATTTTTCAGAGAAATTTATTTGCAATTTAATCGAAATTATCCAAAAATCTCAAGGAAAAACATGCATAACTTTCTTTAAAAATAGATCTATTATCTTGGAATGTTGGCAACTCTTGAATGTTCTACGGTGTTTTTCCTTAGCACGGCAGTATAGTCGTTCTCGTCAAAACGGTTTTATAATTGTAAATTTTCATTTTACTCAAGTCAAGTCTGGTTCCATCGAGAATAAATTAGAACTCGAAAAAATAACTTGCAGGTGCCGCAAGCCCACGCATATTACTCTGTTTGAGGAAGAATATGGTTAAATTAATGAGAGACTTGGCAACGGCGAACTTTGCGTTTCGTGCATGTTTGCACTCATCGGTTTGACATGGGTAACCCCTGATTAGCTTTGACTATTCGTGACTCTAATTACAGCATGTGTCAATCGACAAGTCCTCCTCTTCCGCGCTTATAAGCCAATTTTGTCCTGCTTCGGGGAGCGTGCCACACTACCACACTTGTGTTTGCAAATCTATCATCTCAAATCTCAACACTTAATTATTAATCCGTTATGTGATTTACGATGGAGGTAACGCGCGACCGCAGCTATTCAGTCGTAAGCAGAGACAATATAGGGTGATGCAGAGATAAACTGCCAGAATGCAGGAGCGTTTCTGTTGGTCGAAATAAGACCTTTTTTATTTTATGAATCTGATTACATTTTGCAATGAGGAACCACTATCTCTGGCTCTTCCATAAAAACGCATATCTGTATAGGGAAACCAATGACACGTATGCTGTTTCTAAAATGAGTTAAAAATAGGGGTTCCCTATTGCAAAATGTACTCCAATTGTTTGCCGGTATCGCTTTTTAGGGGGCCATAACCTCCCTACCTTAAGTCCTGGGAAATACATCGTGTTCCTTACATTTTGGCAGCGGAAATAATGCACCGAATCTAAAAAAATAGCACGTGCCCATAAGTTGATACACTGAATTCATACCTGACATTCGAAAAATCGAAATTTAAGTTATGAGTGGTTTTTTTTTGGGGGGGGGGGCTGGACTTAGAAAGACCAATAATTTGGTTTCTTGGCGTATCAAGATGGTATTTTGCGAACCTCGCGAAACCCAAGTTTTAACTGAGATTTCGATTTTTCTAATCTCACTGATAGATGCGTACCAATTTAAAGAAGACTCGGTTCATTACCTTTGCCAAAATGAAGGGAAAGTGATTTATTTCCCAGAATTTTCGATTAAATAAATCACCTCTGGAAAAAATTCAATATGCAGAAGAGAAAAATCTTATTGGAATCCGTAGAACACGTTCCTTCAGTCCGGTGGCTTTTCCTCAAATTACCCTGTGTATTTCAGAGACTCCACACTGCTAAATTACCTTTTGTGTAAAAGTTATGCATTTGGAAGTCAACGCTCAGACTCTCCTTATTATCATGACTCTTGCCCAAAGAATTAAAACAATTCATTGGTTTATCAATCCTAACCCATTTTGCAGAACTCGCTTGGCTTGGCAAAGGGAGGCAAGACATTCACGAATTGTCATTGCGTGAATTTCATTTGATTTTTTGCTCAACAAGTTGCTCATCAATCATCATTTGGCGTAAAGTAGCGTTGACCTCCGAAGTCATGCCTCACCCGAATAAACATTGCTCAGATTGTTAGTTCGGGGTTTCTAATACGGACATTTCGCAATAGGGAACTACAATTTCTAGCTCATTTTAGAAACAAAATATGTGCTATTTGATTCTTTATGCAGAAAGGTGCTTTTATGGAAGAGCCAGGGATAAAGGTTTCTTATTGCAAAATTTAATCCGTATCGTCCCTCTGCATTCGTTTCCTTGGGTTTCTCGGGGGTGTGGGTCACACACTGAAAAAAAATTCTCGGTGTTTTTACCAATGTCCGTTGGTACCTTTACCACCTCACTTTTTTTTACCAATTATTGGTAATTTTATCAAGAGAGACTGGTAAGTTTACCTAAAAACCGGTATTTTCACTGCTTTTTCAGGTAAGAATACCACTTTTATTGGTAATCAATTCCCGGTAACTTTGCCATTTTATCTCGGTAATTCTATCACAGGCGATGAAAAATATCGCCGTTTTTACCAAGGTCCGGTAAAATTACCGAGAGTTCTTGGTAAAATTACCATTCATGGAATTGGTAAGAGAAAACTGGGATCAAATAGAACCCTGAATTCTTCGTAATTTTACCCTTTTCTTAGTAAATACACCAAGATTTTTTTTTTAGTGCAGCTCTGCGTGACATTATAATTCGTCAAGGTTACATTTACAGAGATAAAAAACAGCATTTGACTTGAACCGACATAATTTAAGGAAAATTTGTTTCCAGGCTCACTGATCAGCGTTTTTATAACGGCGATCGCAATCGGAGAGGTGTTCTCGACGAGTGTGGGGATCATACTGACTTACTTCCAGCTCAACTTGATATCTCTCGTCTTGGCAGTGGTCACCTTCTTCAGCATCGTCTTACTAGCCACGGAGTCACCAAGTTGGCACATCATGTGTGGCAAACAAGAAAAAGCCGAGAAGTGCTTCAGGTATTACTGGAACTCAGCTTTCGGAGTCGAGGAAGAAAAGGTTTGTACTACTTTGGATTAAAGTTTTAAATTCCAAACAGTCTGTAAAGATACACTGGTAAAAAAACCTCTTGGTTCAAGAGTGCAGTTTCTTGTCGTAGGATTTAAGAGTCTGGACTCTTGTTTCAATGCAAAATCTGCTTGAATCAGTGCAAAATCCGCTTGAGACAAGAGTTCAAGACTCTTAAATCCGGTGACAAGAAACTGCACTCTTAAGTCAATGCGATGCGGCATTGGCCCAAGAGGTTTTTTTTTTTTTACCAGTGTACGAGTGTTATGGAGGTTCTACTCGTAATCGCGGTGAGAAAAACTTTCATTTTAATCAAAATGAACTTCCTCTTTTAATTTTCCGAAAAATGATCTTGGTCTCTCAACGAGCTAAAATTCCTCTCTATCTAAAAATTGAGTGTGTGAGAATGAGAAGGAATTTTCCTTCGAAACAGACTATATTTTTTTTTTAAAAAACGCGGAATTTTTTTGCGTGAATATTCAGTGGAATTTTCTTTTGATTAAAATGATACGATTTTTCCCCTTAATGGTAAACCTGCTGGTAATTTTCAATTCTCGTCACACATCAAGCCAGAAAAGAAATGCCGGTGTAAAACATAAGTATAATTATTATTTACAAAAAAAAGTGAATTACATGACGCGGAAGCTAGTGGAAGTATACCGAAAGTGGGGAATGGAAGTAAATGTGGTTAAGACGGAGAAGTTGGTTATCGGTGGTGATCAGCAAAGCATTGAACTGGAGGATGGTCGGAAAATTCAGGACTGTGAAGAGTATAAATATCTAGGAGTTTGGTTAACTAAGGACGGAAATTTGGAGCGGGCTATTAAAGATCGGAATGTGCAAGGCAGGAAAGCTATCGCGATGCTGAATGGGGTTCTCTGGGACCAGAGTATCTCCAAGGAGACCAAAAGGAAAATTTACAACGTCATCGTGAAGAGTATCGTAACTTACGGGAGTGAGGTCTGGCAACT